GACCTTTATGAAGACTAAAGCACCGAGCACGGTGTCCGCAGTGATTTCTGTGTTCAGATGCACCATTTTCAAAGCAGACCGGGTCATCAAAGAGGAGGAAGAGTGAAGTTGACAGGAAGAAACTCAACATAATATGTCATCCAACCTGGATTGGTATTGAATATAAATCACAACAACGGCTTTAACCTGTTTAATTTTCAGATGCAGACAGCTCTGCAGAAATGATAACAGCAGGTAGCATCAGTCAGCCCAAAGAAAACCTCTGGATCAACTTTTCTGACTGGTCAACACTCCGGGGTCCACTGGAAAGACTATGATATAGACTAAGACTGAAGCGGTTTCTCAATCTGTGTACTTGTGTGTACTTGTGCGTCCTCGTGTCCTCGTGAAACGTCATCAGCCTCAGCCCTAGCACTGTTCCAATTCCTAAGAAAAGCAGACAAAGAATGGACAAAGTCCCCGGATGTTCTTTTGGCCCCTCCCTCTTTACCCAGCATGCATCAGAGCAGACTTGTCTGTTCTCCAGACTGACAGCTGTCCTAGCATGCGCCGCGGCAGCAGCAGCTTCCAGGTTAGGTCCGACTCGGAGGCCTTTCTCCTGGTACCAAGGTCGCCTCCTCCTCATCACCCTAATCTTCATCTTCTTCTTTAGCTGGGCCATTCCTAACTAGTGACCTAAGGTGAACCCAAACCACCAATGGGAGTGATTACTTACTTTATCTTTCCGGTTAGAACCCTGCCAGCGTGCTGCATCCCAGTGAGGGCCACGTACATCCGCAGGATCTCATTGGTTCCCTGGAAACAGACAGCAGTTCACTGGTTAGCATCCACGGCTAATGACAAACTACTCTGACTGGTGCAGTACTGGGACAGGCTTTACTGGAGGTTTGCCTCCTACTGGTCCCCATCAGCAACACCTTGAGGATCCACTGGGTTCAATCTGTCTCTTCTATAGCTACTGGCTGGGCTGTACTGGGACCAGCTGCTCTGCTTCATCTTCAGACCCGGGTACTGGCCCACAGACCCGAGTTCTGGCCCACAGGCCCAGATACTGGCCCACAGGCCCAGATACTGGCCCACAGACCCGGGTACTGGGCCAAAGGCCTCTGGCCCACAGGCCCGGGTTCTCGCCCACAGACATGAGTTCAATCTTTAACCAACAATAAATGTATTGCAAAAAGAAATGTAAGCCTAAATATTAATCAAATAAATCTTGTGCAAGTAGCACAAATGTTCAGCCATAAATAATTGTACAGATTTTTTTTCAGTAAAAATGAACACCTATATATTCACTACAAGTGCAAGAAAAAGGAGCTTCATTTTCTGAAATCTGGAATTGATCACACAGTCAATAACTGGTATTGCGTGGTGTATCCTCTACCCAAAGCGGCTGAGGTGGGTCCATTGGTTTAGGTTCGGGGCCTTTAAAGTTCCACTTTCTGTCTTCATGGACAACATTTTCCTCTCATCAACTTCCAGCATGTGACTGAATGAATCTTTGAGCCCCTGTCCAATCATCTCCCGCATGTGATCTTCTGGGCAGTATCTGGTTTGTAAGCAGCAGCTGCTGAGAGTCCAGTTCATGTCCATATAATACAGATAAACTCTGAAGAGCGAGACTAGACCAGAGATCTGTAGTAGCTGGTCGTGTTTCGTTCTACAGTTTTTGGTAGCACAGTATGAGAGTCGGTGGCTCATATTTTGGATCACAGCATGAGAAGGAAGCAAGGCTGCTCTACAGTATGAATGGACACCATGTCCATCCCTATAGGAACAGCTGCAGCGTTGGTCAGATGCTTCCGCTGCAGACCTGTCTGTCAGCACCGCTTTAGAAAATGATCCAGCCAAGGTTTGTTGTCTTTTCTTGTCACATTTGTCTTTGCCTATGATGCAAATGCTGCACTCACAAAGCTGCGAGCGCTGCTCCCATTCTGTGGGGGGTCTTTGCAGGAGATGCTGAAACAACATAGTTGTGCTGCTAGTTTTGGTTCTGATAGCATTTCAAAAAACCTTGAACACGACTGCAGTCTGCTGCACATCAGCCTTGGCAAAGCCCAACCACTTCAATATATTCGATAAAACACAAGTCCCTTTTCTCAGTACCAACTCTTCAGATTGGGCAGTGGCCATGGCGTGAGTAAACTGTGCCATGGCATGAGGAAACGCTGCCATGGCGAGAGAAAACGGTGCCACGGCGTAAGTAAACGATGCCACGGCGTAAGTAAACTATGCCATGGCGTAAGTAAACAATGCCACAGGATGAGTAAACGGGGCCATGGCGTTAGTAAACGATGCCACGGCGTAAGTAAACTATGCCATGGCATAAGTAAACAATGCCACAGGATGAGTAAACGGGGCCATGGCGAGAGTAA